GAAGTGTACCTCTGGTGCAAATTACTGACCTCTGTCATCATTTTAGGTGGGGGAACTTGCACAATCGGTGGCTGACTAAATACTTTTTTGCCCCACTGTAGTTGGATAGAAGTCACCAGTCCAATAAGAAATCCTGATCGGAGATAGAAATTTGTATTCTAATGGTTAAAATTGTGAAAGAGAAAAGCGAGAGAACGTGAAAGGTCAAAAACTAAAGATGGGCATATCCATTTTGACATTGCTTATTAGACAGTGTAATCCATTTTGAAGCATTGGTACTACAACCAAGAGAGAAGCCATTTTGACCCCATAGAAAACAATGTTAAGCAACAATTTTGCGATGCTACATGTTTTCTTCACACACATTTTGACATGAAGGTTTCTATATCAAGAACCAGAGTTAGTGCAGCTCAATGACTGATACACGGATATACAGGGGACTGTAGATAAAAGATGAATAATTACTTCAGTGGGTTGGATGGAATATTGAACTGTGGCAGAGGGAACACTTACATGAGAGGAGAATGGGGTGGATTAATGGGTATGCAGCACATTAGAACCAACCCCCGGGCCACGGACCGGTACTGATCTAGAAATTCAAAACTCATTAAGATTTGAACTATGGACACTGCTGCTTTGGGCATGCTCATTAACTGCTTAAACACTTGGCTATACTCATTCATTTTTACAATATAGTCTGTAAGTCTTATTGTAATACCCAGTGTTTTGAAGTTGATGCAAGTGTGTTTAGGTATCCAAACAGCTGTGTCTGCAAATTTTCCTCCTCCAGATAAGATTTGTGAAAAAAGTTATTTGTGTAAAATGTTATTATAACTTATAACATATTGTAACATTAAGCAACCTCTAATGACATGGAAGAATGTATTCCTGTGTTTTTGCTTTTACAGAAGTCAGAGAATGGAAATCCTGGTAGTCATGAAAAGCCAAGAACACTGCCTTTCCAAAATTGTAAAATGCTCTGTGTTTCATGTTTAGCTGTGTGACAGGCAGAATGTAGGACCCAAATGCAGGACTCGAGACACAGAAGGATAAACTAAAGGACGTAGCTTTATTTTGCTGTACAAAACTCAACACTAAATACAAGAAAACTAAACCAGAAATTAGAGACATGAAACTCTAACTAGAAAACTAAAAAAAAAAACTCAACCAGCAACAGAAAACTAGGTATTTACCAGAAGCACGGAGGAAACACACAGCACTAAGGAGGTACAACGCAACAACAGGCAGAGGGACACACCGAGAGATAACAAGGGAATGAGATAGAGGAGGAGAGCACAGCTGGGAGTAATCACACATAACGAGACGGGAAGGAAGAAAAACTGGAAACATTAACAAATGATGCAAGACTGTCAAAGTAAAACAGGAAACCAAGACATTCACAAAGACACAGACTTGACACTGAGACACGGAGATGTGACTAAATGGAGAACTGGATGCATGACCCTGGAGCAGAGAGACAAGAGTAACAAAGTGAGAAACATGGAACACAGAAGAATGAGACAGAACTAAACATACACGATAGACTACACAGGGAGGCACAAATGAGAACAGATTAAATGAACAAGAAGTCACAACCACAAATACAAATGATTAAAGCAGGAAGAACGAGGAAACTAAACAATAGTAAAATGCAAAAATAAGAAAACTGGAAACACTGAGTCATAGAAAGTGTCACCAGCAAGGTGACACTATGGGAACCCAAGTCCCACTAAGTAGGTTTGGTTTCTAAAAACACCAAGTAGCTATTGTCTAAACTTCACAGTACTCAGTGAGTAAATACAAAAATATTCCAGATAAGACTCAAACCTCAGTCTTCTGAGTGAAAGTCAGGTGTGTTCATACAACTGCTCCTCTACATCCTATTGTAAACTTTTAAGACACTGCAGGGAAAGTTGAAGTAAAATTTTGTCTCTAACAAAAACTACAAAAGGCTTATGTTATATTTAAAACAAGTGAGAAGCTGGAAAAAGAAAAAGGCAATTTGCTCATCAAAGACCTGGATGAGACCCATGTGACAGGAACTGCACTTGAATATTTATTCTGTGATAACCAATCAGATGCATTTGACAGTGTGGTGTAAAAGGTCCATGTTACCCCCTACACTGACTGAAATGTCTACAAGGTCACTAAAAAGAGAGAATACCAACATGAATGCGTTGTGGGTCATACTGCTTCTTCTTCATCGAGGATGTAAGTGCTTTATTATTTTATTAACGTTATTTTCAACATATAAGTACGTTGGCTTTATCGTTCACTTTTACCTGGTGCTTTCCTGCATCATTGTGACTTAATGTTTTAGATTTTGTATGTTTTCTTTCATATTAGACACACTTATTCCAGTAACTACAGTTCAACTCGGTGAACCTGCAACTTTGCTGTGTGACCTGCCTAAGACCGAGTTCAGCCGTAGAGTCGACTGGTACAAGCAGAGTCCTGGAGACTCTCTGCAAAGAATTTGGACAATGAAGGACTCTGCAGCACCTGCCTTTGCACCTGAGTTCAAAAACTCAAAATGGGATGTTAAGTATGGCAAGAATCTGACCAACCTGACCATTTTGAGGACAAGAGAAGAGGACGAGGGAATGTATCACTGCGGATTCACAGCGTGGCTCCAAGATACCAAATGGACTGCGACATATTTGTTAGTAAAAGGTAATAATGTGATTCTTCTATAACATTTTGCTTCAGCAACTAAAACTTTATCACATAAATACTAAAGATAATAATTTATCAATGAGCATGTTTAGAAAAAAAATCACTAAACTTTCAATTTAAATATTTTCAAATATTATTAAATTTACCTTTAACATACATTTGATTTGGTTTTTTTTAATGTTTCCAGTGATCCTTAAGTGAAATATATCTTTTAAGTAACACATGTTGAAACTATTGTTCTATTTTTCTTTCAGTGTTCTTTATAATCACATTTGTTAATATATTTATTTTGACAGGAAACACCCAGAAAACATCGAACTATTCTGTTGTTCAAAAGAAGATAGCCCCTCCAGGAGGCTCAGTCACTCTTCATTGTTCACTCCTCTCTAATTTTGATAACAAGACATGTTCCGGAGGTCTCAGTATGTTCTGGTTTAGAGAAGGATCAAATCCATCTCATCCTAGCATCATCTACACTGATGGAAACAGACATCATGAATGTGGGGATAGCTCTGCGACTCAGCAGAGTTGTGTTTATCAGTTCAATAAAAGTATTAGCTCCTCAGAAGAAGGGACTTACTATTGTGCTGTGGCCACATGTGGGAAGATATTGTTTGGAAAAGGAACTAAACTTCAAGGTACTGGTTTCATTTATCTATTTCTTAGAATATCAGAAAAATAAGTGCCTTTTGTTTCACGTTCAGTGATTTCATAGAAGGTAAAATTTAAAAAAGGTAATTTTGTAATTTATATTGTCCTTAAATTTATTTTTGTTGTTTTTTTACCTTTAATTTAGTTCCTGGGTGCAGCGTGTGGTCACAGAGTGCCACTACAGTTATTTTTCTGCTGTGTCCCATCTTGGTTCTGATTGTTGTTGCTGTCCTCGCTTACACAATCAAGAAAACCAACAGTGATTATTGCAAAGGTAATCAAAGTTCATAGCTGTCTGTGAAGTTAACAAAACGGATGAATGTTACATTTCTAATAATTATTTATATGTTCTATATTCAAGCTACAACCCTGGAGAAAAACTCTGGTGATTTCAAAAGACAACAGGTAAAGTAAATAATGGTACATCGGTCATGTTGTGTTTATTTTGTGTTAAACAATTTTGTGTTCCTAATGAAATGACCTTTTCATTAGGACTCATCACAAAAGCTGAGCTGATATGCCTTGAATTCATATTCTAAAAAAAATCATTTGTGCATCACTTTGACAATAAGCAATAATCAGATGAAACATTACAGACTGCTTTGGGCCAAAGTTACCATGAACATTTTCTTTGAAACAATTGGAATTTTTTATACAGTCACAGAAGGTAACACTTGCTGTGTTCCCTGTCAAAACTCTAACGGAAATATTTTATTTTTGTATGGAGGAAATTTTCCCCAAACTGCACTTGCGTCTGACACTGCTCGTGACCAAGAGAGGAGATTAAGAAATGATCATATTATGTCCCTTATGACCTCCATTCAGCCTTAACTTGTCCCGGCATCACATGTTGTCAATTTCTTTATGCTACATTTAAACTGTTTGCTTGACATATACTGTCTGAAAGGTCAGCATGTTGATACGTTTCCATTCTTTGACTTAAATGCAATAGCCTCATCATGGCCTTCCTCATCATCACTGAATTGCTCCTCATCTGTCATTCCTTCTTCTGGATTATATTCCATGCCGTCTTCAACTTCTTACATTTGCTCCTTTAATCCATCCTTACTGCCAGTTTTGTGGCCTCTTTCCTAATCACCTGTCTAGTAATCAAATACGTAATAAAGAGCCGCCCTCAGGGTATATCGACCTGGCATGATGCTGTCACACAGTGACCTGTGAGCATTAAATACCCAACCTATGAGAAAAAGTTAGATACTACTGAAACAATGTTTGTGCTCAAATTCAAATTCAAATTTTTATTTGTCACGTACACAGTCATACACAGTACGATATGCAGTGAAATGCTTAGACAACTGCCTGTGACCTAAAGAAAAAAAAAAGGAAAGGCTATGAATAAGATAGGAAATAAATATGAAAAATTAAAAAGTGTAAATTTAACTAGGAAGGAGAAAAAACTGTACAACACAAATTAGAATGAAGGGTAAATTTAACGGGAAGAATAAGATAAAATATATAAATTAAAGTTGAAAATAAAATAACTGTACAACAAAATACACAATACGCAGTATAGAACTATATAAGAATGTATGAAGAAATATAAATAAATAAATATATATATACACACACACAATAACAGCAGCTGTACAAGTATTAACTGGAAATGAAGAATATAGTGACCAGTGTTGTGCAATCCACATTTGTCTTTTGCAGTGCAAATATGTGCATGCATTATACATATGGATCAGTGCGTATGTATGTTCATCTTACAAAAGGGGGTGTAACTGAATGATTGGTCAGTTTTGACCAGGAACACCAGGAGTGTACAAATGTTTAATAAAGCGTAAAAAAGTGTTTAGTGTGTGTGCATTACTAGCTTTTCTGGTTTTGATGTTTCTAATGTTTTTTTTTCCCAGGAAAAGAACACATCAGTGTTTTCTGCTGTCATCTTTACTATGATACAAGATAAAAAGAACATAAAGGCCGTGAAGAGGCAGCAGATTTCCATGAATTTTGGACCGGATTAGATCTGTTTCCCATGCTTACCCCCATAACACTGAGGATGTTTCCTTAGAGCCAATGAACTTTAATTTTTTTTTTTTTTGTATTTCATTTTTTTTTGTTCTGTTCCTGTTAATAATAGCATGTTCAGTCAACCACCAGTAAGCTTATTGCATCATCATTAAATATCTCCAAAATAACCTTAATTTAAAAAACAAAACAGGGGTCCCATCAGTTTTTAAGCGTCTGTTAAAGGACTGCTGCTCCGGTCTTTTTCTGCCTATACAGAGGATTGATGATGCTAATCTGACAGAAAACCTGCAGTGTCCACAGTCTGCTAGTGACTCTCCTCTCTTTTTTTTCTTTGATTCTTTTACTTTTGTTGTGGAGCAACTAAAAGCTGCATAGTTCATAGCCTGAAATGACATATATGTTTGAATTTATATCATTAATAGCAGGCAGAGTGAGTTCAGTGCAAGTGTGTAGAATTATACTCTTCTTTAATGACATAGTCTTACTTGAGTATAAGATTAAAAAAAAATTCTTGGCATTGTAGTTTTGTTTCAACTTATAGCTTAGTGCTACTTTTCTTCTGGCCAGAGCGTGGAGTTTTGTGTTTGTACTTTAGCCTTGGTCAGGTTGCTTATTATTCACTTCTGTTAACCTTAATGGTATAAGTTTATTGTAAATATTAATTATAAATAAATTCATTGTTTGTAAAGTTATCTTCTTCTTTGCTTAGCAGCACAATAAAAAATGTAGCCAAAACCACAAAGGTAGGTCTGTTTGATAGAGCACTGATACTGGTGTGAATTGTCGCTGAGACGGTGTTAAATTTTTTTGCTGCTTAGAAAAGAAAAGAAGCAAATAAACAAGCAAAAAACACTAGAATCTGAGCTATAAGTGTCTTTATATTCTATCTTTTTATGTCTTATGCTTGTAGTGAATGTCCTTTTGCATGTCAAAAGAAAAGAGCAAGCAAAGCCACATTCATCAGATACACTGACAGACAAACGTTGTAATGGCCAATTTCTCTGCCTCTTGAACAAACACTGAATCTGTTAACTCACAACAGATATCACTGTGAGCTTTCTCCCTAGATAAAATGCGAGATGAGCCTTAAGGCACATAAACAGACTAGTTATAAAAAACAAATAGAACTGATCATTTCAGCTACGTTAATGTGCTTTTTTTTTTTTTTAAGTGTCTTTTAAAAAAAAAAAAATCAACCACAAAAACTGTATCTGTTGTATATCTGCAGACACAGACTGTGATCAAGAACTGCAGCATGACTAAGCAGGTCTCTGTGTGTGCCTTCCTCAAATATGCTCTAACAGCTCCTTGTATTGATGTAAAAGCTAAGCGTAGTTACTATTATAGTGCCGTTCCACTTTTCTTTTAAAAATACATAAAGAGTGCTACCAGACCAGCTGTTTGAAACCAAAAAAGAAACAGGAAGAAAAGTCCCTTTGTAACCGCACCCTTTTTGTTGCAAGTCCAAACTCAGCAATGCTGCTTCTGTGCATCAACTCTGTTTATCTTCATCTTTGCATCCATCGTGTACAAATAGTTTTGTGCACAGAAACAAAATACTTATTACCACATGGGAGATGATAGACATAAGAGTCTGAGCCTTTATTCAGTCTTTATTTATATTATTTAAAGTATATTTTCAGTTGTTACATTTCTTGTTTGCAGCTGTCTCTACATTTGTAAGCATAGGCTGGACATAGGACTGTCTCAGGAAATTGCAGGTTATTACTTGATTGAACTGTATGATCGTCAAGCAGCAAGTGTAGTTAGACTAGCTCTTTAAATATTTTCTCTTTTTCTTTCTTCATTCAAATGATTGAACATTTTCTTTAATCGTGTTTGTAAATTTACCTAAATCTTCCACTGTGTGTACAGATATACAGATTGAAGTCTCAGCTTGTTTATTTACGTTCTCCTATGATTCACATCACATTGCTCTATCACTACATACATTGGTACATATGTTTCAATTACACCAGAAGCTTCCAGGTCAGTTTGTTTATGTTGCACTGTGAGAGTGGTGCTCTGAAGTGAGAGTAGAGGATGGAGAGTGTAACCACAACCACCTCCTCAGCTCTGTATACTAGTGCATCTCTTCCTGCTTAAGTAACGGACAAGCAGGCTGGGTTTGTCATCACTGCTCTTTGCACAATGACAACGTTCAAGTGACAGTAAAGTTGAACATGTAATCTTAATATCATGGTCAAGTGCATTATAAAACAGCAAAAATTGTAAAGCATTCAGGCAGCTTGTGATACTGTAAAATCTCTGTGTTCTGTACTTCTCTGTCTCCCCTGTCATGTCTTCTTGTCTCAGTGTCAAGTCCATGTCTCTGGGCCAGTCTCATGTTTCCTGTTTACCTTTTATAGTCTCATATCTTATGTTCATTTATTCAGTTTTGCTTCCTCCGCATCTCATTGTGTTTGATTTCTCCCAGCTGTGTTCCCCATGTGTTTCTCCTTCCCTTGTTACTCCTCTGTGTATTTAAGCCTGTGTTTTCCTCTGCTTGTTGTCGTGTCATCCCATGTGCTTCTTTAATTGCCTTTGGTAACCTAAATCTTAGTAGTTGCTGCTTATAATTGGAATGTGCTCAATAGAATAACGGGGAGGATCCCCTACTAAAAATCGGGTTAGGATTATTTTCTGTCTCATTGTTATTATACACATATTGCTGTTGAGTGGTTTAAAAATCTGATTATTTTTGTAGACTAGAGAAACAGATTTTCCAAACATTTATGTGTTAACTATTTACAAGTTTTTACTAAGATAATATAACAATGCAGTTTAAAAATATTGTCTGAGTTATCGGTATCAGTCCCCGTCCCTCGTTTCCCGTGTGCGAGCTGGTGTGTGTGTGTGTGTGTGTGTGTGGGTGTGTGTGTGAGCGTGTGTGTGTGTGTGTGTGTGTGTGTGTGTGTGTG